TGGAAGGGACCTTAAAGACCATCTAGTTCCAACCCCCCTGCCATGGGCGGGGACACCTTCCACTAGACCAGGTTGCTCCAAGCCTCATCCAGCCTGGCCTTGGACACTTCCAGGGATGGAGCATCCACAGCTTCTCTGGGAAACCTGTCCCAGTGCTTCACCACCCTCAATTATGTTCTGGTTCTCGAGGACTCCCCTGAAGGAGCTACCGCAGGACAGCAGCAGGCACTGCTCTGTAAGCGCTGCCATGGCCTCCACGTCAGACTGCGAAGCTGCAATATGCACGTGCGGATTTCAAGGTTAGGGAAGCTGAGCATTCAGAGCTCGACGTACAGCGTCCTACCCGTGCTGTAATCCTGCTGCTCACCACAGAGCAGCCCTGCAGCCCAGAGGGTATCAAGTGCATCCCCCAACCATGCGACAAGCACAGACTAGAGCCATCTCGCCAGGCCAAACCAAACTCAAGGGCTTCTGGGCTGTAACAAGGAGCCAACGCAAGGAAGATGCAACAGCAAGGTCAGGTCCAAAGTGTGAACGCCTGATCGTTTCCTCTGCAATCAGCATCCCTCTTCCAAACTTTGTGAAGAGGCAGCACTAGCTGCACTGTGCTCACAGCTCCAGTCCCATGAACTCTTTGCAGCAAACAAAAGAGGAACTGCCTTGAAAACGAGGTGTTTAAAAAAGCAGCTGTAAGGGACAAACCTGCTCAGTGATCTGCAAAACCAATCGAGGACCTCAGACTGGTAGTGCTGTATCCGCGTGGGAACAGCCTCCGTCTGAGTTCCGCAGCCCGCGATGCTCTGCACCCGCGTGCGCAGCTACCGCGCGCACGGTCACGCTGCTGGTGACTGGGGAGAGCGGGAACCCGAGGGCAACCGGTCTGCGTGCAGGAGAGACAGAGCTGGGCTGCCCCGGGGCTCAGCAGGGCAGCGTGTGCAGGAGGCTAACCACTGCTAGGAGCCCGTGTTTACAAACACCAACCTCACGAAACTCTCCGTTACCTTCCCGGCTTTGTACTGCAACTGCAGGAAGCTGCAGGAACTTCTCCTCTCCCCTTCACCACCATTTGACATTTTACCTTTCCTACACGTGTGCTAATGTTTTCTCAAGCCTGCCGAGGTTGTTCGTTTTTTCTAGCCACCATTTTTATCTGGAATCACCTCTCTGCAATTCAGAGCCCATTTGGAAACAGAGTAGGTCACATTTAGCATGTATTAACCCAAGAGACACGCTCTTTTAAAAACAGAAATAAACCCAGCCCTGCGTTAAGGTGCATTATCTCGTCGGATGGTCTCACCGAAGGCGTCTGGAGAGAATCAGTGAAAGAGGTTTCAGAAGGAAGGCAGACAGGAGCATTCCCGTTAAAGCTGCTCTCCTGAGAAGAGGAGTTTGGCACATCCGCAGTGCTGGGTGACTGGCTGGCTGCGGCGGGCACCGCTAGGTCAGAGATCTGAGAGGGATGGACGGGCGGAAAAGGTGGGGTGGAGCAGGAGGAGGAGGTAGAAGAGAGGAAAGGAGGTATGGAGACTTGGTTGTGAGGCACGAAGTCCTGGGAGTAGGACCTAAACACAGATTTGTACTACAGGATGCAGAGACGTACAACACAAAAACAAGGAAGATGGGGAAAGGACAGAGACAGACAAGAGAAAAAGCAGTTAGATCGGCAGTAGCGCAGCAGTGACAGCACAAGGCATTTCTGGCACCTCTCCGTCGGGAGGCCAACCCGAAGACAGGCAGCACTCTTTCATCACCCACAAGCTAGAGCAGGAGTTGCTACCTGCGACACGTCAGCCAGCTTTTTCATGGAGAGGCGTGTTCTTGCACAACCAGCAGCTCGGCTGCTCATCCCACAGAGGGAAAGTGGGCACCGGGGTGGTCGGCTGCGGGTATCCAGCCTTCGCTAGGAAGGGGGAAAGGCTGGACATCTCCGCACTGCCTACGACAGTGACCCTGAAAATCGCTTGTGCGGCTGAAAGGATGCGAAGGCATACAGAAACCATGACTGCGAGCATGCTGGAAATGTCTAGGCAGGGAGAAGTACTCCGAGTGCGTCTTGCTTTTCTGGGATTTTCCACAGGATCCAAATTTAAGATGCTGTTTGCTCCAGCCCTGTAATTTAACAGCGACTGTGTCAAGTCTGTTCCACAACACACAGCTCCCAGGGAGGAGTGGCTGGATACTGTCTTCAGAATTGCCCTGAAGGATAAAGGAGATTACAGCACTACTCCTTCCCATTTGAGAAACACGGGGAGTAAAAATGGTAATTGCCCTCAGGAGCGAAAAGTTCCTTATCAAACCCATCCTTTAATGCCGCGCCTCCAAGAGTCAGCTGAAGAGATGAAAAGAGATCATCTGCGTGAAGCTGTATTTCACTCTCTCTCCTAATCATCAGATTACTGTTGAGATAATATTAAACAGGGTGCAGTGGGAATATATCGTGCCAGAAAAACAAGAGCAACCCTCTGTCTTTTAACATCTGGTGCTGGTAAGATCTGCCATCAGGGTAAGTCCAAACCAAAGCCGATGCCCATCAAAGACAGACGATCACCCTAAACCTGCCGGAGAGGAGTTTATTTTAAAACCTGTAGGAGCTCGGCCACTAGTGAGATGTGTGTCGTAGCCAAGCGGATCGAAGGAAGACTCACACCACCCAAAAAAGCCCCACGCCGAGACGACGCTGCGGCGGCTGATCTGCTGCAGGCGGCTGGGGCGTCACAGCTCCCACCAGGCACCCACACAGCTTCCTCCCACCGGGCTGCAAAGCCGCACCGCTGCGACGTAAAAAGGAGAAGGGGAAACAAAGGCACGGAACGGGGAAGTCAGGCTACGTTTTCTCAGGAGAGTTGAGCGGGTGATAAAAAGCAAAGCTCCGTCTGTCACCCGAGCGCGGCAGCATCCACCGTGGCAGTGGCATTTTCTTTCCGCATCGGACGTGAGCTTAAAAAATCTAAACTGAGTACAGCCACAGGCCAGAAGCCTGGGCAAAAAACCACTTTTCCACTACAAAGGAAAGGAAGAGCAAAGGTCAACGGCTAGACTTTACCTTCCACCACCTCAATGCTCGTGGTTGCCCTCCGCCACGCGTGGAGTCTGGCAGCGCTCTGGGTGTATTCCTGGGGCCCACAACGTATCGCAGGCCGGAATACAGACGAGCAGAGGGACATGCTTTGGGAAGGGAGCTTAGAAGACTACTGAAAAATAATTAAAATGCAAATCCCTACCCACATGCCTGTGGCTAAAAGGAGACTGGCTCTAGGACAGGCTCCACTCTCTCTTCCTGCCCGTTTCTTTCCGGATGAGCAGCCCTGGCTCCAGGGACACTGTCAGCTTTTGGTGCTGCCTCAGTAACAATGACAAGTCTAATCTCAGTATTTACTTTCTGCCTGGATAAATGCTCTACATCTATTCATTTTCACTTGCATGGCACAAAACACTAAATCCCTCCTAAGACGCCAGGTTCATGACATCATCTTGGCTCAGCAGATTTATTATGCTTGCCCCGTCTCCCTGGTATTCCATGATCTCACCAACGCTAATATGCCAACTACCACCCCGAGTCCCAGGCTGGACCCCAAAAAAGAACAGGAGCAAAGCAAATGGAGACCCACTGGAGAAGGCACTCGACAAATGCTGTCCCGGTAACAAGATCCTCTGCTCCAGGGAAGGAAATAATTTGCTCAAACAGGACCTATGTGCCAGCTCCCCTAGAGCCGAGCTTCCTGCGCCCACAGGAGACGACGGCATGCGCTGTCCTTCGCTCTGTAGTTGATGGACATCTTGCCCCGAGGAGTCCGGTTTTGTCTTTTCCCAGAGAGTACGCCAGGCTTGTGCAAAGCAGCGCTGGAGCTCACGCAGGGCAGGAGTGAAAGGAAATTGCTGTCCTCAATCAAGTCACTCGGGGACAGGCAGCACCCCGCGAAGCTCTCGCGCTGCCTGATGGTGCTGGCAGGGTTAGTTCAGGCCAAACGCCAGTCCGGAGAGCTGAGACGTTGCCTGGGACACTGCCTGCAGGCTGAGCTGGAGCCTGGGGAGATGAATTACTGCTTCTGGGGCAGGAAAACGTGCACAGATTTCACCTTGTTTAGTTTCAGAGACATTAATCCAAATCCCAGGCAATTTAGACTTAAATATAACATATTACTGCATAAATTCTAAAAGTTTGAATGTGGATACATTACTCCTGACAATCACTATACATTCATCTCTTCTCAGCCTCATGAATACACCTTTCAAATCAATATCTTGGCACAAGATGTGTTGAAAATGCTAGTTTAAGGCCCAAGTACCCAGGAAAATGCATTAATCTTCATTATGCGATGCGTGAACAATCATTTAACGACGCAGACATGCTCTCAGCATGCTGTTAACAAAGGGAACAGGGCAGAGAAGCCTTTGGTGTGCTGGCGTTAATTAGCCAGGCTGCTCTCGACTTCCAATCTTCTTGTAAAGTTGCATCTTGTAGAAAGCGAGCCAGGGAGCTCCCTCCTTCCTCCGGAGCCTGCAAGCAGCTCTGGAATTCCAGCTATGCAGCCGTTCTGGGACAAGAGCCAAGAATGAAGCATACTTTTAAAGGGGAAAAAACCACCCTGCGATGGGGATGCTGTAC